CTGGCATTTGCCAGAGCTTGCCTTTGTGCAAACTTCTGCTTAAATCAAGATGGCCGCACTAATCCAGCCGTTAGAGGGGCGCGTGGCTTTTTCCACTGCCTCAAGCGCTCATGGTTTGGGCTTGGCACAGGCGTGCACCGCCCTGGTTGCAACGCGCCAGGTGGAAGAGCAATCCCAGATGATTTTGGTGAGCCGGCAGGCAGGTCACCCTCAGGCTTGCTTTCTTGTGTTGGCCCTTCTCCCACAGGTTCTGCGGTCAGCTCTCGTGTTTTGACCTCTGTTTTGAGGTCCTCTGTCTCGACAGCCTTTGTTTTGACGTCCTCTTCATCCAGCTTCAATTTCACAGAGTCTCCTTTTGGGCGTTTTTTGGGTGGCTTAGGTCGTGGGTCTCTTGCAGGACCTGGATCTTCCAAACCCCTTTTGCTTGCCCACTCCCCACACTGGCATGGCTCAGGCATGGCAAAAATTGGGGTCTGAATACCTGTTTAGCGCTTGAGCCATCACAATTGCCAGCCACCTGAGTCCAAGAGAACGGGAAACGGGCAACAACATCCCTTGAAGCCGACCCTGTCTCCTTCACATTTCACATTGCAGCACTGCTTCATCTCCAAACGAAGCGCAGCCTCATCTTGCTCGAAGAAGAAATCAGCAGCGCTGCATGCTGGAAGCTGCTCCTTCACTTTGCCAGCTAGTAAAGAATACAATGTGTCCACGCTGCCAGTGCACTCCAAGACGTCCTTGTGGAACAGAATGTCAAACCTGCATGCCGGGTTTGCTGAATGCAAAGGATAAAGTTCTTAGATTATTTCAAAAATGATCCAATTGCAGTAAGCAGGTGACAAACTTCTGCTTACTGCAGTCTGTAGAAACGTTGGACAGCACTTAAACTTAGGCAGCTGAGGTGCTTCCTCATCCGTCCGACAGCCATTCCTACATCTGATGGCCGAACTTTGACTTGCAGATGGCCATAACCATTGGTCTCACCCTGCTCAGTAACCAAATTGGACAAGAAGCCAGTGACATTCTCATGGATCAGTAGAGGCGTTTTGTTTTTGATGTGCCAAAATAGCCAGGAGAGGAGGAGAATCGAGTTCTCTGATTCATCTTTATCCATTTTTCCCAAGCTTGAATAGGAAGTGCACATTGACCCACTTGCATCCATGAAGGGGCGCCGGATCTGGCACCTGGGTATATATAATTGGACAGGTGTGGAAATGACACACACATACATACATATATATATATATATATGTTTTTCAATAATATATGTATAGGTGTATATATTTATGGAGAAACAAGTGGGCCTGGCGTATCAACTGAAAATTGCTTTTTGAACACTAAATAGGTTGAGGTGCATCTTCAAATGATGTGAGCAATATGCTTTGTTGTTGTATGTAGCACCCTTTGCAATCTTGACCCATTTCTCATACCTCTTGGCTTTTGTTTTCAGCGTCCTCATTGCTGCTAGGTCCTTCTCACTGATAAAGTTCTCGATGTTTGTGAACTTGCAAGCTGTGTCCGGGATGGCGTCCACGTGGCTGGCCCGTGCTTTGGCATCACACTCGCACGTCCACAAGCTTTCCTGAGATGTCCAATAAGAAGCCCAGCAAACACAACCACAAGCAAATGTTCCCCAAAGTCTGTTCTTTCCCGACAGCTGGAGCTGTAGTAAGCAGATAAAGAAATCTGCTAACTGCAGTTCCGGTTCCTATTCCTGATTGAATGACATGCATTGGAACAACCAGGGTGATATACAGCAACTGCAGTAAGCAGCTTGGAATCTGCTTAGTGGGGGGGGTGTCCAAAAACGCTCAGCTTACAAGTGTCATGATGCTGATCAGGCCCTTGATGCCGGTGATGCCAATGGTGCTGATAATGCTGTTTTAGCTAAATTTGCTATGCCTTTGGACATTGATAAACTTTAACAATAGCATCCGTTTGCACCCGATTCTTGTGAATTTCAATCCAAATTATGCCAAAATCCTTAAACATGTACATTTTGCTGATGTTTTACACATTTTCAAAAAAAATCCTAAATTTTAAGAAATGGCCTCAAAACTCTTGAAACATCAAGGAAAGACAGGAACTGAAGGAATTAGACCAGGAAAATAACCAAAAACATTGAATTTTTACAACTTTTCCAAAAATTCTAAATTTCAAGAAGTGGCCTCAAAACTCTTGAAACCTCAAGGGAAGACAGGAACTGAAGGAATTAGACCAGGAAAATAACCAAAAACATTGAATTTTTACACCTTTTCCAAAAATTCTAAATTTCAAGAAGTGGCCTCAAAACTCTTGAAACCTCAAGGGAAGACAGGAACTGAAGGAATTAGACCAGGAAAATAACTAAGAATTAAGAATTAACTAGCTACTTTTGGTTCACTTGTTCTCCTCTCCCCCTGTCTCTGCCAGGGTTCAGTCTCCCGTTAAGGGAAGAGACACAGAGACAGGGGGAGAGGAGAACAAGTGAACCAAAAGTAGCTAGTTAATTTTTAATTCTTAGTTATTTTCCTGGTCTAATTCCTTCAGTTCCTGTCTTCCCTTGAGGTTTCAAGAGTTTTGAGGCCACTTCTTGAAATTTAGAATTTTTGGAAAAGTTGTAAAAATTCAATGTTTTTGGATAGTTTCCTGGTCTAATTCCTTCAGTTCCTGTCTTTCCTTGAGGTTTCAAGAGTTTTGAGGCCACTTCTTAAAATTTAGGATTTTTTTTTTGAAAATGTGTAAAACATCAGCAAAATGTACATGTTTAAGGACTTTGGCATAATTTGGATTGAAATTCACAAGAATCGAAGGCATAGCAAATTTAGCTAAAACAGCATTATCAGCACCATTGGCATCACCGGCATCAAGGGCCCCCAGTAAGCTGATTGGGATCTGCTTACTGCAGTGGCTTGACCCC